TCCATCCAGGAAGAGCACACACCAACTGCTGAGGCTTCCTCAGCCGGACAAAGGGTTTTTAAACCTGAAAGCTTGCTAAAAAATTTTTTTTCCAACATTTAAGTTGGTCTAATAAAAGATATCAGATTCACCCGAAGAACCTTGTCTACCTACTAGGTAAGGCATTTTGGTGATATCTGAAGAAGGGCATTTTGTGCCTGAAGCTTGTTTTAACAGCTTTCCCAAATATACAGTTGGTCCAATAAAAGATTCCCAAAAAAAGGCCTGCCTCTCACATGTTTCCTGTGCCATCGCAGCTTCAACAACACTCAAACTCAGCTACCTGTCTGCAGTCTGAGATCACTTCTGTCACAGCCTTGCTAACAAGTTCAGGTCAGTTCCTGGGCCTTGGTATCTCTATTCCTGCAGAAATCAGGGCAGGGTGGCACCTTAAAGACTAACTTGTTCAAACAGGCAGAAACTTTTGTAAACAACAGCCTGCTATGTCAGATGCTATGAACACACTTACAGCAGGCAGGGGTACTGAATAGAAAAGAATTACCTGGAATACCCCTCAGTGGGTTAACTGCTTTGTTCTTCCCTTTTGAGCTCTTCAGCTCCACTTCCCTCTGCTCTATACTTTCCTCACCTTTTCCCTATACTTTGTATTTAATTTATTTTATTCCTTTCGATATAGGAGCTATGATATCTGCAAATTCATTCCTAGCATCTGACAGAGCAGGCTGTCACCTGTACAAGCTTGTACCTTTCTGACAAAGTTGGTCTCAAGGGGGATCACTGCCTGACTTCGGACTAACACAGGTAACTACCTCGCTCTTGGCTCCTACAGAGATCCTGGTGTCAGATTCCTGTGGCCAGATGTTCTCCCTGCTGAACGTGAAGAAACCCTCTTTGGGCCCTCTGGAGAGGTCTTTGATTAGCACCTATATAATTCAGAGCAGAGTTGGACTAGTTTTGTTTCTGTGAAACATCCCCTTGATAGAGCAACGAAGAGAGCACCAGGCTCTCCTTCCAAGCCAAACAGCAATATCCTCTCTGCCTGCACACACCTTTCTCTAGAGAAAGGAAATGCAGGCCTAGCATGGAGGTGGTCAGGGATCCAGCTCACTGACTGCTCCCACTGAAGTCAGTCACCGCAATGAGCCCATGAATAACTCAAGCAAACTGCAGGATCAGAACCCTGCTGAAGCTAGAATTTGCTGTTTTTCTTCAAGGCCCCAAGGAGGTTATAGGAAAATCTCAATTTATATTTTTTTTCTTTAAAAAACCCCCCAAAACCTAATTTCCAGCCCAGAGAAAAAATTGCGATGTGATCCAGAGGTGGGCTAAAGATGGAGAAAGAGAGAAAAAAATCACCACAAAGGAATGACTTCTGATTTCTTTGAACACCTGTGGCTGACTATAATGACGTGACCAGGAGCAGCCACTGGCTATTGCTGGGCTAACACCCATCAGTCTTCAGACCCGGCCAAGCCGGGCTGAGCTCAGTGACACGAAGTTTCAACTGGAACAGATTCCATGGGCTGGATATCCCATCATGTACAGAGGTCTGACTTGTCTGTGGGCAGCACAGGCAATATTTACACCAGCACTGGGTACCTGCACTATGCACAGAGGCCAGGCCCAGCGCTGTCAGTCCAGCATGGCCTTTGTGTCTATTTAAAGACAAATTAAAAGTGCCCTTTTCATGGCTGGTTATCAGAATCCCATCCAGTGGGGATTTCTATCACATAATGACCATATTTCCTTAGTGCCCAGTGTGATACATGATCACATGAGCAATTTATAACCCAAAATATAAAGAAGTTCTCAGATCTGTGATTGCTATCCTTCTTAGTTTTTATGACCTTTGGTGTACGCAGGTCTTGTAGGAAAGCAGGAAAGCAATGGGGTTTGACTTTTAGGCCTCAGTTATTCCATCCATTTTCCTTCATCCTTGGGGTGTTTCAGATAACATGCATGGGGATAACATGAGCATAACTCCCTCAACACCTTGCAGGGCTGATATCGCTCTTAGAGCAGCTCAGCTAGCTTCCCTTGATGCAGAAGGGTACTGTGCTCTCACGGACCAGGCATTAGTCCAGGCATTGGGAAGTCATGGTTTTAATCCCACTTACCCAGTATCCTGCTGTGTGACCTTGGGGCAACTGTTTCCCTTCCCACCATGAGTCATCCTTGTAACCCAGCCTGTGAGCTGTTTGGCTCAGGATGGGTTTTCAGTGAGGATTTATTCAGACTTTGGCATAAAGGAGCCCCAGTCAGTCGAGCCTAAGCTGCTTTTGTAACACCAGAAATGCTAGTACCTGCCCTGGAAAACCCTGAACTCACTTTTGGGGTTGCCTTCCAGTTAAACCAAAGACCGTGGATCTGATGCAGCATTGTTGTCAGAAGTTTCCCTGAAGTTGAAGACAGTCTGACAAATTGAACATAGCAACCTTTCCCCATACTCCAAAAAAGAGCACAGCATCATCAGACACCTGGATAAGGCAACGTGGCAGTAATCCCAGTCAGGCTGAGATGATATTTAAATGTCCAGCCACAACACTGGTTGTTTCCCCTCTTTCCCATCTCTCCCAATGTAGGTCTCCGCCGCTGGTACCATGGCAGCGATAACGTCTCCATGGATACTGACCTCATCCAAAGCAATAACCTTTAGCAACTGCAACAGCATACTTATTGGGGGTCCAAACAACCCCTTGGGCTGCTGTCAAACCTGAGGCTTCCCTCTACAGTGTTGCTAGGGGACTGTTATATAAGCAGGTTGTGGCAGAATACCATCTCTGTCTCTCCCCAAACTCTGCTATCTGACAATTTGGTTACCATGGTCACTGCAAAGGGCAGACTCCTCTGCCCCATCTCTTAAGGTAACCCTGAGTTGTAACCTGAGCTGGATACAATCCTGAGGGAAGGGGAAACCTGCTCCCTCTGCCTACATGACTGGCCACACACACCTGGGTGGGGGCTTAAGTTCCCTGTTGTTCTAAGCGATGCCAACATGACTGGGAGGGGGCTAAAGACCCTGCCAGTCTACCTGGCAATCAGTGATGCATTTTAAATTGGTTGGCTGGCAGCCAACAGCTGCTGGCCTTCATTGAATCAGGTAAATGAGATCATAAGGGCTACATCATTGAACGACTGCCCAGGAGGAGGGGCAGTAGCCATGATGAGAACTCAGAGAAAATCTGGACTATCTGAATCTCTCTGTCTTGAAACTCATGATCAATGAACTGTTTGCCTCCAGAGGGAATCTCCACCTGCCTCTGGCTGATACTTGTGAGTAAACTCCTTGAGATCTAAGTAGATATATAGTTTCATAGTTTCTAGGGTCGGAAGGGACCTGAGCAGATCATCTAG